CCTAATGCAATATTTATTACTTTTGAATAAATACAAATACAAATTTGTATTTGTAATGATGTTATTAAAAAAAAAAGAACAGAAGACAACTGTCAGATTCCTGAGTACATGCAGTTAGTCAATAAACAGAACTGCCAAACTACAGAGTTTGTCAAACAAACACCTGCAGGTCTGGCCAGAGACGCGAGCAGACGCGGCTGGGAAGACTCCTCCGGGAGCGTTCCTGGAGCAGGGTGAAGGAGCATTTGAACAATCAGCTCTGTTTCACCTCTTCCTCCTGCTCCTTGCGGCTTCCAGCTGGACACAATGAGGCTCCTTCAGTCTGCAGCCGGCAATTAGAGCGCGTGTCTCAGGAATCCGGCCGGGCCGGGCCCCTTCTCCAGCCCGGGCTGGCTCAGCCTCGGAGACGAGGAGCGGGAACGGTTCCTCAGCCTGTTAGGAAGCAGCGGCGGCTGCATGGGTCAGCGCTGGGCTTGGCCGGGGGTCTTCCCAGGGCCCCCACCCTGGGGGACGTCTCACTGGCCATCTCCCGGGGCTGCCTCAGTGCAGAAGGGAGGATCAGAGCCAGAGCATCATTTGCCCCTTGGGGGCAGTTCCTGGAACACTGTGTTGCTTTTAGGATGCTGTTAACATCCGTGTGACACCTATGTTACTACCCACCGAGCACTTTCTTTTCTGAGATTTTTTAAATCGTGCAAAATCATGCACGATAGGGAAGTGCACAAAATACACATGTGGTTTAAACAAACAGAGAAGCGAACATGCGTGTCTGTACCCCACTCAAGAGGAGGAACAGAGCATTGCCAGCCAGTTCTTCGCAGGCCCTGGGTACCTCTGATCCCCTCCCTTCCCGCCCCCAGAGGTTTCTGCTGTCCTGACTTCTGTGATCAGTGCATCTTGCTTTTCTTTATACTTTCACTTATTTTTCTTTAAATCCACTCTTTTAATTCAAAAAAATTTATTTTTTTGATTTTTTTTTTATTGTAGTAAAATTCACGTAACATAAAATTAACCATTTTAAAGGATACAGTTCAATGGCATTTAGTACTTTCCCCTCTTTCTAGTTCCAAAACATTTCCGTCGCCCCCAAAGGAGACTTGTACCCGTTAGGCAGCCCCCCTCCATTCTCCCATCCCCCAGCCCCCCACAATTAGTAATTACTAATCTACTTCATCTCTACGGATTTACATATTCAGAGTATTTCGTATAAATGGAATCGTACTGTATGTGGCCTTCTGTCACTGGCTTCTTTCATTTAGCATAATGGTTTTGAGGTTCCTCTGTGTTGTACATGTCAGCACTTCATTCCTGTTTATGGCTGAATAATATTCCACTGTCGAGACATTTATTCTAGAGGGAAACTGTTTCATTCCCGCTGGCTTTTCCCTCCACCTGGAACGTTCTTCTCCCAGATATATCTGCGTGAATGACTCCCTCAAGCTGTTCAGATAACGCCCTTGCAAGAAGGTCTCCCCTGACCACACAGTGAGACTGGCCTTTTGTCTGCCCCCGAGTTCCAAGTGCCCCTGGAAGTAGGTAATTAAGCACATGACTTGTTACATTGCCTCCGTGTCTGTGTCCCCCGGTAGGTATATGTTCCACGAGGGCAGGGAGCTTTGTCCGCTTCACTCTCAGACGCATGCCAGCTCCTCCGTCCCCAGCCTGCAGTGAGCACCTGTGGGGGCTGAATAACGGACCCCCGAGATATCCCTGTCCCAACCCCTGGCCGCTGTGGGTGTTACCGTCTACGGCACAAATAGAAACTTGGCAGACGTGATTAAGTTAAGGATCTCGAGATGGGAAGAACGTTCCGGAGTTTCTGGGTGGGCCCTAAATGTAATTACAAGCGTCCCGAGAGGGAGATTTGGCTGTGTTAGAAGAAGTCAGTGTGACAACTGAAGCAAGATGCTGGCGGGCTGGCTGCAAAGCCGGAGGAAGGGGCCAGAGCCACAGAGTGCAGCTCTGGGAGCCAGAGAAGGCAGGGGAACAGAATCTCCCCAGAGCCTCCGGAGGCAGCACAGCCTGCCCACACCTTGACTCTAGCCGGAGAAGACTCTGTGGAGCTCTGGCCTCCAGGACTGTAGAGAATAAATTCCTGCCGTTTCCAGCCACGAAGTTTGTGGTCATTCATTACAGCAGCCATAGGAAACTAACACAGTGCTCAATAAACGTTTGTTGAATGAATAAACACTTGTCGACCAGTGACTAAAGGAGACACCAGTATCGCTTACAGTAAGCAGAAGGCATCTGAGCAAACGAAGGCAGTGAAAATGCATGATGCTGAAATTCAGCTCTGTAGCTAGAGAGCCACAGGCCTGAGGCAGCTCACTCTTCCTTAGACAAGAGAGTTGGGCACGTGTAAGAGAGCGTGAAAAACCAATGAGCACCCAACGGTTGTCTTTACACATTGAAAAACAGAATGGCTTTCTGATTCTGTCAGTCAATCGCACCTAATGCTCCGATTCGCTGGGACAAGGGAGGGGGTCAAGGCAGATTTTACAGAGATGGTGACATCTGTGCCTGGTCTTGGAGGATGAACGGAGAAAGAGAGAGGGGGACATTGGGCATAGCAGCTAAGTTTGTGTGCCGCCTAAGTCACTGTAGGGTGAGCCCTGTAACTTGAGAAATGCAGCCGAGGTGGTGGGGAGCCACCCTGGCTGCTAAGCCAGAAAGTGCCGTGGCCCAGCCTGCCCTTTGGAGACACCCTCCGGGCACAGCCTGGAGTGAGGAGGGGCGGAGGGAGAGCTGGGAATCGGGGAGATCCGCGAGGAGCAGGGGAGCCTCGTGCTGCTTCTTCAGCCTTCTTCTCCTGCTCCAGCTGCTGCTGAAACACAGAGCCCCAGCGGTCCCCATCCTCATTCTCTCCTCTTCTTTGACCTGCTTTTCCTCCATGGTGACCTAACCCGTAGCCTGGATGACTCCCACGCGTCTCTCTCCAGCCCAGAGCTCGCTCCTGAGTTTTCAACCCCAGGAGAGGGTGGAGTCTTTATCCGACGTGTCCTCTTGGGGTGCAGGCTCATGAGAGACAAGTCGAGACTGAGGGGTCTGTGTCATCAGGGAGATGTTCCGTGGGCTGTGGGACACTTAGGTCTGGCACTCAGGGACCTGGGAGTGTACCCAGAGGAGCAGCAAGGGCAGTAGCTCAAATAGTTTGAGAAGAACAAGCTGTATCAAGGGCAAACATTCCCACGACCTACAAATGGGGTCATTGTCCCTTGGAGTGAGTAACGCCTGGCCTCGGTGGCTGCTTAGCCCGGGGGTCTGGGGTTGAAGCAGCTCTCCTGCACCCTTGCCTCAGTCCTGGCTCCAGGGGGCCCTTTGGCTGAGCAGGCTGGACCTGAAGCCGGAGCGAACCAGAGGAAACTCCCTCAGGGCCAGGTGGACTTGGCCTCTGGGGAAAAGCTTCCATGAGAGCAGTTTGCACCACGGTTAAGCGCACAAGCTCTGGGGGCCGGCCTGGGCCTACCAGTTACTAGCTGTGGGACGACGAGGAGAACTCTGTGCCTCAGTTTCCTCATTTGCAAGAGTGCCCGAGCTGTGAGAATTCCACCAGCTGACGTGTGCGAAGTGCTTAGCAGAATCCCTAGCAAACAATACGTGCTCAATAAATATTAGCCATTATTATGATCATTACGGTTTGATTGTCTCCATCAGCTTTTGCTAAGTGCTATCACTGCTCAGACCTGTCCCCGTGTGCAGACAGAGAGCTAAGACACAATTCCTGCTCTCAAAGAGCTCACTGTTTAATGAGAGAGACAGATGGATAAAAAATCATACCAGTAGGTGAAAAATGCTATAATGGAGGAAGCTCCCACTTCTTGGGGTGAGGGAAGGGCAGGGAAGACTTGACAGAGGTGGTGACACTTGTGCCTGGCAGAGGAGAGAGGGCAGCATTTGGCACTGCAGGCGCACAAGCCCGAGGCTGGGTACCAGGCGGCAGGGGACGGCTGGAGCCACGGGGTGTGCGCATCTGTGCTCGGGGTGCAATGGGTGGCTGTTGGCTCCAGATGCTCATGGTCTCAACTTTGGCAAAGCCAGCAGCGGCCTCAGCCTTGCTGGAAATGTTCCTGCTGGTGACATCATGCTGAGGCTGGTCACTTCTCGAATGAATCTGAGGGCACAGCCCCCACCCTCCTGCTGTGGGGGAGGAGGGAGCTCCTCTTTGGGCCATGCCCAGGCAGGCATCCACTCTGCACTCCCTGCCTGCACCGGCTGCAGCCACCCAAGCCCAGCATGGACAGGAGCCAGGCTTGCGCCCTCTGTAACCTGATGCTTGCCTGCATCAGCCCTAGTTTCTGAGCCCACTCCTTGGGGGAGCTCCAGCCAGCCTGGGGTCACAGTGACGTCCTCCGTGCTGGCTGTCAGGCCTCCTGGCAGCAGCCTGCCCCGTGAGGTCCAGAGGAATCACAACACGGGGCCAAGATGGCTATTGAAGCCATGAGTCTGGGGTGGGGTTGGACCAAATGTCCCTGGGCTCAGGCAGGTCCCCACAGCCCCTGCTCTTTCACCAAGACTCCTGCCTCCACTAGCAGCCATCCTTAGCGGGAAGCAGTCCTGAAATGCAGGCCTCTCCACACCTGCAGACAAAGGACTTCCTTGGGCCCTGCAGCCAGGGTGTTAATCCTCCCCCACTGCCCGCCCAAACTGACAGGAGCCTCACCCTAACAGGCAGAGAGGCTGATCGGACACAACATGATGAAGGGCTAGAGTGCACGGGCTCTGGAGTCAGACTGCCTGGGTTCGAATCCCAGCTCTGCAACTTCCTAGCTGTCTCACCCCGGGCGGGCGAGGAACCACCTTTCTATGTCTGGGTTTCTTCATCCAGACAATGGGACAATCATACCTACTTAACGTGCTAATCCAGGGGTCAGCAGGTTTTTCCTGTAAAGGGCTGGAGAGTAAACGTTTGAGGCTTCAGGGCCATAGGGTCTCTGTTGCAACTACTCCACTCTGCCTTGCAGTGAAAACGCGGCCATAGGTAATATGTAAACGCGTGGGCGTGACTGTGTACCAATAAAACTTTATTTATGGACACGGAAATTTGAATCTCATAGAATTTTCCTGAGTCACCAAATATTTTTCTTTTGATATTTTTAGCCATTTAAAAATGAAAAAAAAAAAAGCTCTTCTTAGCTCACGGGCAAAAGCAAGATTTGGCCCGCGGGCTGCAGTTTGCTGTCCCCCATGCTGATCTCTGTCCGTGCCTAGAGGCACCAGGACACGGTTCTGACATCGAACAACTGCTGTGTACTTGATACCCGTTAGCTATTCTCACGTCAGAAGCGTGAATACGGTGGTTGGCTCGCTGGTGAGGGGCAGACCATCGGTGGGGGTCTGCCTTGGAGAAAGAGCAGCTGAGGTAGCTTATTGGTAGCCAGTCCTCCAAGCCTTGGACTACCGCTGGACAGGAGTGTCCACAATGCCCTCTAACTGGCCCTTCTCTGCTTGGGTGAGGGGCCCAGGGCACTGGCTCAGCTGCTCAGAACATGGCCCCACCCACACCCCCAAGTGAAGGCCTCTTGTCACACCTGCAGGCCTTCCGCAGTCGCCCCTCCCAGCTACACACTCCAAGGTCCTCGGGCCAGCTCCCTGCCTGCGGGCACACAGGAGACCTTGCCCCACTGTCAATGACTCAGGACAGTTTCTTCACAAACAGCTCCAGCTCCAGGCTGGTGCCTCCTCCTCTCTTTGGCAACAGGCAGTGGTTGTCCGTTCTCAGTACCTAAGGTCACATCCTTGGGCCCCAGCTCGGGCTGGGGGAGTAAGTGAAACCCCGGGTGGGGCTGTGGAGGAGTCGTTCTCTCTCCAGGTCTGGCGAAGAGCTCCGTCAGGCTTCCCTCTGGCCTGAGCCCAGGCCGACCATTTCCTGGGCCCCATCTCTCTCTGCAGCAGATGTGCGAAGGGTTAGGCCCGCAGGATCTATCTCAATCTGGATGGTCCAACAAGTCCCCTGCACACGCCCGGGCCCATCTTGTTCAAGGCAGACTTTTAGTCAATGTCTTTGAAAGGCCCAGAGAGGGCGCAGAGGGTCCTCTCTGTGTCCAGGAGTTCTCAGCCCCTGACTAGTAGTCTTGGCTAGATCTTTCTTGCCCACCCTGCCTCAGAACTCAGCTGGCACCTGGGTGTCTGTGAGCTGGTTGGAGAAGGCCCTCTCCAAGCGCAAGGTATTGTATTTGGGGGGCGGTGTGCCGGGTACCTGGGTCCCTGGGGCTGGCGGGAGGTGCAAAGCGGAGGTGAAAGTGGGCAAGTCATCGTCTATATCGAGAACTGGGTTGTCCTGGCCCTGAGGGCTGGGGGGAGCTTCGGGGCAGGGGGGCGCCTGCCTCTGGGCCCACCACTGCTTGGCTTTCTGCCACTGCTGGCGGGCAATGATAGAGAGGGAGTCGATGAAGAAGACTTCAACGATCTCAATGATGCAGACGATGGAGCAGCTCATCCACAGGCCTAGCTGGCCACCGAAGTTGGACAGAAGCATCTCGATCTGCAAGGGAGGCCAGACTACACCATCAGGAGGGAAGCCCCCAAGCTGGCCTCCTGCAGGCACCCCAATCCCCAAGGGAGCCACCAGCTAGCCCTCGCTCTGAACAGGCTTGCAGGAAGAAGCGGACAGGCTTCCTGTCGTCTCCTACTCTGCTTGCTCTGATCCAAGGCCTGGCTGGCCTACAGTAGCCCCACCAGCTCAGGCTGGACCCCCATGACCTCACTCTGCTCCCGGAGGCTAGGCAGATGGGCACATGTGCACACCAAGGACAGGTCCCAGGAAGAAGCCACTCACGCTGTTGGCAGGGTTCTCCATGATGGATCTCTGGTTCAGGTCTTTGTAGAAAATCAAGAGTTTGGCCAAGTCTGTCCTGCAGAAATTCCAACAGGTAGGGCCAAGGTGAGTCGGCACCTTTGCATTCTACAGATGACCAGCCCTTCAGTGTGGCTGTCTGCCTCCTGCCCAGCTGCCAGCACGGCCCAGGCTCTGAGCTCCATGGGGGCCTCAGAACCTGGCCCACGGGCCTCCTCTATATGCCAGAACACATCTCCAGCCTGGGCCTGGACGCTCAAGCCGTTCATTCACTCAAAAACCATTTTCCAACCTCCAAACCAAGTGAGTCCACCCAGCTATACTCGCATAGCACTCTGTTCTTCGTTAAACTGTGACATTTGTGATTGTTTGATTGTAATCTCAAATACATGCAGGAGACGGGCAGGTCATGTAAATGAGTGAGGTAGGCTGAGTATACGGTAATAATCATAATAATCATAATAGCAGCTGGCATTTATTGGCAACACTTCCTGTGCTGCCAAACACTGTTCCAAGAATCTTACGTGAATTAACTAATTCCAACAACCCTACGAGGTGGGTATGTTTTAATCATAAACTTTACAGATGTGGGAACTAAGACACAGATCACTTAAGTAACTCGCTCTAGACTACGCAGCTCGTAACTGGCAGAGCCAGGGTTCAAACTTGGATGGCTCTGGCTTCCAAGTCCGTGCTCCTAACTGCTGTGCTAACCTGCCTCCTGAGAGGATGGTGCAAGCCAGAAAGCTCACGCTTACTCCAAAAGGGCGGCTACTCCTCAGCCGTTGGGTGCTATGCAGGAATGGAGGTTTGCTTCTGCCCTTACTTTTGATCTTTCGGAAACAACTGGAAACAATGGATGACTTTTGGGGAGCTAGATTTGGCCTGGGGGGGTCACCAGTTTGCAATACTCAGTTTAATAGTTTGCAATTTCTTGGTCAAAGTCTATCTTTGGCACTAAGCTGTAAGCACCCGGGAGGCAGGGTCCACATGGTGCCCCCAGCACTTCACACAGCGACTGGAGCCTGGTGGATATTCAACAAATGCCGGAGGCTAGTCTGGCTCCCAGTGCGGCCAGGCCTGGTGCTGGGCACCAAGGAGATGGGGATGGTGCAGAGAGATGCGAGTTCACATGACAATTTCCCCACCCTCTGCCACCTTTGCCTCCATCGGCTGAGGCCCCTGAGCCCTGGCCTGCCTGATTTTTGCCAAAGGTCCCTTGGAAGTGAATTTCAATGTGGAAAATTCAACTGCAGTTAGAAGCTGCAAAGCTCAGAGAAGCATTTTTCCAGCTAGGTCATGCTACACCACGGAGCCATGAAATAAATCTACTGGGCCATGAACAGTATCTTTTATGACGTGAAATAGAATAGAAAACATCAGATTGTATCCACAGAGATAATAAAAATTTTTATCAACCCATATGGGCACTAATCAATGAGAATCATGCTGTGACTAAGCAGAAGGGATGCGAACGATTGGTTTGGCGCTCCTCGTGTGTACCATCTGAAAATCAGCCCAAAAGCATCCCCCATCATAAGGAAGCGCTGTTCCACGAGACTTATTTTGGTTACATATTCAATGCGCCACCGCGCCAAAGAATTTCATACTGTAAGTTGCGGTCAAAAAGCTTGAGAGCCCCAGGCCTGGAGCAGGTCCTGGCTCATGATTCCAGCTTGATAAATATTTGTTGAATAAAGCAAGGAGTGAATGAAAAGGAGAGGGTTTGGCAATGAGGAAGCAAGTGAGGGGCCCAGGGCCTGGGGCCAGCGGAGGCAGAAGAAACAGGGCAGAGGTGAACTTACTTGTTGAGTTTTTTCTTTATTTGCAGACCTTGGTCCCACGTGAGAACGGACAGCAACCATTTCTGTGATGGAGAAAGAGGAAGTGGTCTGGGGAGGCCCAGAGAGGCCCGGCCAGCCTGTCTGCCTGCCCCCTCAGCCCCAGCCCCGGACCCGGGCCTCCCCTATGGATGACCCTCGAGGCCAGAGGACACAGCCAGGACCTCAGCGAGGCTCCAGGTGGAGGGCTCGAGGGGGAAGAGTGGGCAGAAGAACTTACCTCGGAAACCTCAGACGGCCACTGCGCCAGGCTGGTGGTCAGTGTCCACTCCTTAAAGCTAAGAGGAGAAGGGCATGGAGTGAGCATGGGTGGCCGGGCCAGCCTAGCCCTGCCTGTCCCATCCCTCCCGGGCCACTCACCTGCAGGCTTCCCGGCACACCGACTGGCAGCCCAGCTCTTCCCGGACAAACGCCTGGTGCAGTTGGTAGTAACAGTACACTGAGGGACAAGGCAGAGGACAGCGTGAGCTTCGGGAGCACGGGACCCTTCCTGAGGTCTCCAGTGGTCCCCAGAATCTCCTTTCAATGGTTTCTCCTCCTACTCTCTATAAACAGTGGTTCTCTGCAAACAAATGCTGCTTTGTGATGTTGGGAGACAGAATACTGCGGTGGTAAGGACGTGAGTCAGGAGGTTGGCAGCGCTCGAGTTGGGTCTACCTCTGTTACTCCCTGGCTGTGTAACCTTGGCAAGGTGCTTAACCTTTCTGAGCCTCAGTTACCTGTTCTGTGAAAGGGGACTATCAGTAGTTCCTGCCTCCTGGACTTGACTGAGGTGATCAAGCTCTTAGCACAGGCTGGGGTGGAGCATTTGGTCCTTAGTTGGGAAACTCGGTTCCAGCCAGGCTTGACAACAGAAGTAAAAGTCTGCTTAACACCAATCCCTCCCTCAGGCAGAAGGCCTTAGTGCTGGCTGGGCCGGGGTGTGCAGGGCCGGGGTGGGTCTCACTCACTCCAGTTGGGGTGCTGCTGGTAGTTGCAGTAGTTGGCCGCTGGGGGCAGAGGCTGGCTGTACTGGGCACACCCACACTTCTCCACCATCTTTGTCTGGAAGCACGAGTGAAGGCAGATCTGAAAGAGGAGACCTGGGGGTTCCCTCAACATCCTCACACGTGGATGCCAGAGAGCTCCCTCCCCATCCAGAGGGCCAGCCTCCCACAGCCTTGGCAGACTGCATAAGCCTGCCCTATGTCACAGCTGAGCGGGCCAGGGCTGACGCCCTGCCTCCAAACGGACCAAGCTAGAAAATTTACTGAGAATTTAGACTAACTGAGATGTAGAGACCAGGCTGAGCTGGAGCTGGGCCTGGGGTGGTCATTTTCCATCATGTGAGTGCTGACACAGACAGAAAGGGGAAAATTGGAGCAGATACCAAGAAACAGAGAGAAACCAGCAGCCTCCAACTTTCCAGTTCTCAGGTCCAAGCCCTCTGTGAAGCTTACAGCATAAAAGCTGACAGCAGGGGCTCTGAAGGCAGCCTACTCGGGTGCAAACCCCAGCTTTACCACCTCCCAGCTGTGTGACCTCGGGCAAGCTACTTAACCTCTCTGATGCTTTGGTTTCTTCCTCTTCAAAATGAGTATAGCAATACCTACTTCGCAAGGTTGTTGTGAGCATGAAATGAATCAATATATATAAAGTGTTTATACATGATAGCCTCTCACTAAATATTACCCAGGAGTGTCTTTCCAATGAACTGATCCTTTTTTTTTACGGGGGGAGTCTTGAAATCAGTTTGATTGTATTCTATTTCCTACAAGAAGACATTCTCTAATAGTCTCTTTGTACTCAGTGTGTCCACAACCTCTTAGCTCAGCTCTGAGGCAAGCTGGAGGACTCAGAGCAGAGGGCCCCTGGTCGGTCCTTCATTCTGCTGGGATGACTTTCATCGACTCCCTGGGTATCCAGTCGGAGATGAATTGCAGACTCTTAGAATGTGAGACAAGGCGTACCCGATGACCGCACTCACGGTTGAAAACTCAAATGCCGACAGGGGCCAGTGACATAGGTAATTCACTGGGGGGGACGAGGATGTGAGGAGTGAGAGGACACCTGTACCAGTTAACAGGGCAACTCCATCCACTGATTATCCTACAGGAATATGGGCCCGGTGTTGCCAGATCTTGTTTTTCAAGAGAAGCTGGAAATCCAGGTTTTCTTGTGAAATTCCCTGACTTTTAAACACCATCCAGGCCATAAAAACCAGTGCAGCCTGGAAGGGTCCTGGGAGCTGCCAGTTAGCAGCCTGGGGGATCCAATCCAACCTCCCCCTGTGACCGTTGAGGATGACACAACTTGCCCCAGGCCATCAGTGAGTGAGGGACACAAGTGAGCCCAGAAGCCAAGCTTTCGACCCCCAGCCAGAGCCTCTCCCAGCCTGCTTCCCTCCTGCCTGTCACTCGCCAAGGCCCATTTAGGAAGCAGGCGTGTCTCAGCTGTACACTGCGTTCCAGGCAAACCTCAGTGAATCAGTTAAGCTCCGGTTACAGACGGACGGAAGAGGACTGGAACCAGCCGGCATCATTTGTTCTTGAGGTCTCTGGATGAACCCCAAGGATTCTCACCAGAGTTCCTGGTCCAAGACACACCCCAGCCTATAGAGAACTTTGTGTCCTGGGTCCAGGCCACAGCGCAGGGTTGGGTGTCCCCTCCAGTCCGTACCTTGAGGGAGTAGGCAGCCTTGTAGATGTTCTCGACTGGCACGTCACTCCCGTCCTCTGTGCACTGGCTGTAGGGTTCACTCAGCTTGAAGGACTCTGTCTGTAATCACAGCAGCACACATTCAGCCCCGCCCTCCCCCAGGAACCAGACAGAGGGCATCACTAGCAGTCACTCAGTCATTCATTTAACACGTATTTATTGAGTACCTACTAAGTGCCTGGAGCTATTCTAGGCACTGTGGAATCAACAACCATCAAAATGGACAAGTTCTCTGCTCTCATGCAGCTTACATTCTAGTAGGGTAGACAGATGGCTAAAAAGCAAATAAATAAATCAGATAATTTAGGATAATGATCAATGAAACTGGGCAGAGAGACTGGAGAGTTTGGGAGCAGGAGGGTAGTCATTCCAGAAGAGTGATTAGGGAAGACATCTTTGAGAAAGGGACTCATCTGGAATGGCAACATGGAATGGCAAGAAAGAGAGGACGTCATTTTGCTAAGAAATGGAGGACAAGGATTGGGCAGAGGGAGCCGCAAAGGCTGGAGGTAGGAGAGGTCCCAGGCGGCTGGAACATGGCAAAAGGGAGAGAAGTCGCTGGAGATGACATCAGAGAGGGAGGCCGAGGTCACATCATGTCGGCCCCCTCTGCTGTGCTGAGAATCTAGGTTTGGGTTTCAGAATGGTAGTGACCGTGGAGGATCCACCGGGAGGGGCAGGAAGGATCCAGAAGATGAACGGTGGCTGGGAGCTGCCCGGGATTTTCATCCTGGCAGAGGATCCAATTCCTACCCTTTTGTCCTCTGGCCCCAGAAGTTGACTTGGAAAAATGGACTTTCTTAGAGAGGGCCAAGGAATGCCCAACAGAGAAGAGTGATCCCCTGATCAGAGAGAGGTCAGGGCATCTTAACTTGCAGTTGAAAACCGTATTACATCATGTTTCTTGTGGCTGACTAAGTTTGGCTCTAGCTTAACATTTGTCACTGCAAATAAACAATCAGACAAGCCAAATAAGGAAAAAAAACCCCAGAATAACATCTCGCAAGGGGGAACAATAATAGATTACAAATTGTGGCCAGCTTATACTAGGTCCCAGGGTGTGTGTGTGTGAGTGTGTGTGTGTGTGTGTGTGTGTGTACACAGTTTTGTTTTGTTCTGAAAGTGCGGGTAAAGGGAAAATGGATGGCAGATTTGGGAGAAGGAAGAAAATTCTTTTTTCTTTGAAGAGTGACTGGATAGAGAGAATGATAATGGGGTGGCAGGGGCAGGGTGTGGGGAAGGAATCAAGAAATTTGCCGCAGGTAGAAACTGTAGACCCCTCGAGCAAGCCGGCTAGGCCCTCTTTCTGTTTGTATTGTAACTCATCTGCAGACCAATTAGTCTCCCTCGATTAACCGCAAGTACCTCAGGGCAATTAGCAGGGCTCATTTTAAAACATTTAAACAGCAGAAGCGCACAAAGGGGAAAGTAGCCATCTAGTCTCTTCCCCAGGGTACCTACCACTCCAACAGAGCAGATCCCGATCTCAGACAGACAGACAGGCAGACAGGCAGACAAATACTTCCACGTTCCCTCTGCCTTGCAAACTCCCTGTCACTAACAGTAGACTGAGCGTCTTTCCACGTCAGTGCAGAATCAACAGACTGACTTCATTCCTCTAACAGCTGGGGAACAAACACATTTCGAGCGTCCAGCACACGCCAGGGCTGGGCTGGGCACGGGGGTACCACGACGCCGAGCCGTGGCTTCCCTTGAGGGCGCCTCAGTTCAGTGCTACCCTCTAAGCTTCTCCAAGCAGCAGGCTCCCTGGGCAGATGTTCCCTGGAGCCCCCAGGTGCTGCTGAGCTGTCCACAGAGCCTAGAGTGTCAGCTGCAGCTCGGCCTGCCTGGGGGAAGTACCAGGCCTGGCATCTCAGCGAGAGGGTCTGTCCACTCGGGTAAGCCCCGTGCAGCCAGCAGCTGGCACAGGTGGTTGGGGCGCCTTCTCCCCTGAGAACCAGCCCCTGGGCCACTTCCAGGAAACCAATTATGAGATATCATCTTTTGATTTTTATGCTTTTTGAGAACTCAATGGCCCTTTACTCTGCAATGATGCTTACTGAACTCAGAGCTCTTGGGTTTTGCCCGAAGCAACTGAGGTACGGCAGATGGGGTAAATGGCCTTTGCAAAGTGGGACAGAGGTCTTGAGCTTCTCAAAGACTCAGCTGGATGAACTTGGACAGAGTTCAAGAGAGCTCTCTCTCGACCTCCCACCTTTCACTCCCCTGCTCCACCATCACTTTTCCAGAACTGCTGATTTTTGCAGGGTGGGAAAACATTTTGGCTTCTGTCCTGACCCCTAGGGACACAAAAGTGAGAATGGGTATATGTCTGTGTGACTGTGAGCAAGTTATGTGTACCTATGTGTGAGTGTGCATGCATGTCTCTGCATACGTGTGTGTGAGTGTATGTATATGCGTATGGATATATGTGCGTGCATGCACAGGGATGTGTAGGTGTGACTAAGTGTATGTGTGCACATGTGTGTATGTGGGTGTACATGTGGGAAACAGGACCTGTTTGTATCAAACCAGGTTCCATCTGCTTCCTTCTGGGAATCCTGGGGGAGGAGGGCATTTGCACAGGAGGCTCTAGCTCACCTCTTTAAAAGATGAACCGTGCCAGGGAAAAGCCCAGGTGGCAGCACAATGCCCTCGATGGAATTATGGGTGGTTTAACTCTTTTTTCTTTTGTTCTGTTTTTATATTGCAATAAATTACAAAAGTTATTTGTGTATGATAAAGTTTACACTTCTAATCAATGGAGAACAAAAAAGGATTACTCAACATATGAAGTGAGGGCTGTTTGTAAACCATTTGGAGGAAGTAATAAATTCCATCTCTGCTTCCCATCCTGCAGAGAAAAATGCCGGTGGGTTAAAGTATTAAATGAAATGACAAACTAACTGGAAGGAAACTCAGCTCAGTATCTGATCTCAAGGAGGGAAAATCCTCAATAAACAGAATGACAAAAGAAGAAAACAAAGATTTTGACTATGTAAACATTTGCTGTTTTTACACGTGAAAAAGTAGCATAAAGAAAACTAAAGGAAGGCACAAATTGGGAAAGATATTTGCAACACATATGGCAAATAATTTGTATTCTTTGTATATATGAGCAAGTGATTAACGTCTCATAAAGGACGGGGGTGTCACAAAGGGCAAGGGAAACTTCCTTAACGCCTCTTTTTGCTTCAAATTTATTTTTCCTTCCCTTCACATCTCTTTTCTTAAAAAAATGTATAGTGATTGGCAATATTTTTGGAGCACTTACTACTTGCCAAGCACTGTTGTAAGTGCTGCGTGTGAATCAAGTCATTGAATTCTCACCAGCCTATGAAGCAATGTTTTTATTATCATACGCATTTTACAGAGGAGGTGACTGAGACACAGATTACACAACCAAAGTGCAAAGCTGGGGTTTGAATCTCAGCTGTCTGGTTCCAAAGTCTGAGCACTTAATCCCTCTTACCCATATGCTTGTGAAAAGAGTTGTGTTGTGCTTTAAGATAAAAAGGTACAGTAGGGTTTGCAAGGACAGTGATCTCTCCCTGTCTCCGGAGCCTGGCTCCACACCCCGCTGGGTGAGTTGTCCACAACTGCCCACTTCCTCATCTCCCATTCATGACCCAACCCAAACTTTGGTTTCTGTTCTGCTCCTTTCACTGAAAACTGCTCTGGCAAAGAACACTGGTGACCTCTTGGTAGCCAAACCCAGAGAACACCTTTCGCCCTTTATCTTGCTTGACCTCTCAACTGCATTGGCCAATGTGGCTCACATCTTCCTTGAAACTCTCTTCCTTCCTTTATCTGACGCCAACTCTTTCTGGCTTCTGCTCCCACTTCTTTGCCTTTATTTCTCCCTTTTCTTTCTGCTCATCCCTTAAATATTTGCATTCTGTCTCAGCTCCCTTGGGTGATGGCATTTATTTCCAAGTCTAGAATTATGCTAGATGCCCCCACACCTCGGGTTTCTCTTCGAGCTCCAGGTTCATAGCACCTACTTACTGGACGTTTTCACCTTGATTTCCTAAAGGACAACAACTTGAGTCTATCCCAAACTGAAATGATCACCTTCTCCCCCAAATTTATGCCTCCCCTTGTAGTCTCTAATTCTGAGCCTAGCACCTCCACCCACCCCACTGCCCAAGCTGCAACCTAAATATCAATCTAACTTCCCTGGCCTTCCTCGCTGACTTCGGTTGTTAAACCCTGTTGCTTCCACGCTGTAATATCCTCAAATCCATTCACTTCTGCTCATCCCCACAGCCATTGCCTCCACTAAGGTCCTCATCATTTCCTTCTAGAATTACTGTACAGTCATGCACCGCATAATGACGTTTCGCTCAACAACGGACTGCATCCACAATGGTGGTCCTATAAGATTAGTACCGTATAGCCTACGCGTGTAGTAGGCTATACCATCTAGGTTTGTGTAAATGCACTCTGTGATGTTCCTGCAACGATGAAATCACCTAATGATGCATTTTTTAGAACGTATCCCCATTGTTAAGCAACACATGACTGTAAATAGGCTGCCTCTAGTATCTTGATTGCACTTCAGCCACAGTGATTTTTAAAAAAGTTTCACTACACGGCTTAAAATCCTTTCTGTGACCCCTTAGTAACTGCTATGCCCTTTGTCTGGACTAGCCCTTCCTGACACTGTTCGCCTGACACTTGTCCTTCAAGAATCCATCTTCTAGAAAGCTTTCGCCAACAGCTTCTGCCTGGCTCCCATCCATCCATCCATCCATCCAACAATATGTACTGAGGATCTACTATTTCTAGGAACTGGGCCTGGGAGCAAGACAGAGAAGTTCCCTGTTCCCACAGAGCTGGGAACTGCATTGCAAAGGTGTGTTGTGTTCTCCTCTTAAAGGTAAGATCTTTGAAGGTAGGTGCTCTGTTGTACTCATCTCTGAATACCCAGTGCTTTGGACACACAGTCACTCAATGAATGAAGAAAGACATGACTGGGTCTATCAGCTTAATGTGCCTATCAAAATAAATAAATAAATAAAAATTAAATAAGAAAGGAAGACTAGTTTGTTTGGATTTATTGTTAGTGACTCCCTGCTGACGTCTTAGTAATCCCTGAGTTTTTGTTGTTCTAGATGCTCATAAATCAGAACTAGAGCTGACTGTTCCTGCTCTGTGGCTTTGATTTTGGACATCTCAAATTAGGTGTAGCAGACAACCCACCCGGGCCTTTGTCTACCCACCATTGGTAAAGAGAACATTTGCTTAACAATGTGGTAGGTATTTCTAAGCTCAGAGAGGAAAACCAGAGGGCAGAATTCCTTGGTTCTTGTACTTTTCCAAGCTCTTGTAACTCTCCTCCAAGTGTGCAGGCACCATGAGGGGCAGAAGGGAAAGAGAGGGCAAAAGAATAAGGTAAGGATGTGCACACATCCCAGGTCCTTCTTGAGGGTGCAGGTAAAGCCACATGGGAAACGTCAGGTCAAAATGGTCACTATTCTGATCTGGCGTTCTCGAGATCTGCCGGTGAACAAAGGGATCATTGACCCAGCTCCCTAAGTGGTACCTCAAGGTCTTTTCAAGCTACAGCTCGAGCAGGTTGGGGCTCAAGATTTTTTTCTTGGACAATCATCATTCACACTGCCTGAGTTGGCACACAGTACCTCTCATGTTGGAACGATTTCCCACCTTGGAACAAAGCTCCCAAACGACATGCCTCCCGAGAGAAGCTGGGTCCCCAGACAAGCGTCCTGACAGCTTCTCTTGTCCAGGGTTGCCCTTTGGTGGAGCACCATGAGGCACAGAAGCCGCAGATTTCCTCTGGAACGTCACCACTCCCATTCATCATCTCTGCCGTCTCAACTTAAATATCACTTCCTCAGGAAAGCATTCTTGAACTCCCCACCTCACCCCATTAAAAAAGCCCTGGGTCAGGCGTCCCTGTGACAAGCTCTCACGCATCCCACGTCTCCTTCTTAGCACTTATGATGATTATAATTAATCATTTGTATAATCTTTTTTTTGTTATTGATTCTTTCTGCTGGACTCTAAGCTCCAACAGGACAGGGACACTATCGTCCAAACTGATGTAGTCCCAGTATCTAGCACATAAGAGGCACTCAGAAAAGGCTTGTTGGATGGATAAATGATGAATGGACATACAAGCTCTAAGGCCCACCATATTACTTTATAACCTGATATGAAGCCATCTTTTATGGCTGGGCTATACCTTTTGTGTCATTCTACCATTAGTTTCTCCTAAGAAGACACAATTGGCTTCTCCTTTCATTCAGAACTACTTCAGTTTCTAAAGCTGAGGTTCCTGAGTTTGCCGCCTCCTGGAATAACCACTGGAGTTTGGTAAAAATATGGATCCTTGGGCTCATCTCTTAAAGATTCTCATTCTGATATCAACCCGGTTTAGAAACTACTGCTCTGGAGGACAAACTTGTGAGGGATAAAGAAGGCTAAGAAGTATAATTTGGGACATTAAGGTTGGATATAAACAAAGGCAGAAACAGATGGTCCACAAGGAGATTTTACCCCCACAAACAGGTGGAAAAACGCCACTAAGAGGGACTGTAAATTAAAATTACAATAGATACCATTTTTCTCTTGACAGATTAGAAAAGGTTAAAAGTTGGCTAATACCCGTGTTGGTGAAAGTGTGGGAAACAGCTACTCTCACATATTGCTGGTGAGGTTGGAAATTGCTACAACCTCACTAGAGGGCAATTTGACAAACACACATACTGTCTGACATACTTCCAGGAAGTAATCAGACAAATACACAGCACATCGCACCATGGTTGAGGCTGGAAATGACCTAATGTTGATCAACAGGGAATTGCTTCAAGAACTTATCCATCCAATGGAATATTATGGGTCTTTAAGAAGAACAAGGCAGATCTATACATATTGATATGGAACCATTTCCAACCTACAGTGTCAAGTAGAAAATAGGGCAGAAGAGTATTTTGTATTTGCATAAAAGGAGAAATGCTTATACCTATACACAGATGCTTGAAGACTATAAAATTCAGGCCAAGACACAGAGGCAACAACCATGATCTACGTGGAGAGGAAGGAGGGGACTGGACGTCAGAGATGGAAGGGAGATACCTCATCATGGTATGCTCCTTGGTGTGGTCTGGGTTCTTTATTTAGTGCATATACTCACTTTAAATAAGTTCTTTATAGTCATTCTATTAGAGACAGCAAGAGACAGTGAGAGAGCAAGAAAGAGAAAGAGGGACTAGCATAAAAAGACGCCAGGCCTGCAAACAAGAAAACTGCCTAAGCAGTGGAGTGACCAGGGTGTCAGAGCACACTCCCCTCCTTGTCCTTCTGCTCCCTCTGGGCTAGCAGACCCAGGATTGGAGTCTGCAGCCCAGATGGGCTTCTGTTGACAGCTATGTGTGTTCTCCACACCCAGTGAGGTCAGAGAAGGTCAAAGACTTGAGGGAGAAGGGGGTTCTTGATAAATGAGGTGAAATTGATGGGAGTGTGATAGGTTAAACAGAGCTTTGATGGCCCAGTGACTTTCCCTTAGCCTTTCAACGGTAGTTTACATGCCGCATAGGCCTCTAGGCAGCCCAGAAAGAAGGTGTTAATCTGCCCTATTTATATTACTGACAAATATACAGTTAGTGTCTGATTCCTTGCTTCCAGCACAGGTCCCATAAATGCTGGTGTCTGTCTTTGGAACAAGGAAGGTTCCTTAAATTCTTTCCCCAAATGGCATCCTGTCCTTGTTCCTCCATACAGAAGATACAAAGATGGTCTTTAGTGTAACTACTGGAATGACCATTGAGATAGCCATCAGGAAAATACGGGACCATGCTCCCTTTTGAAACCAACACCCTTTTCCATAAGCCGCACCTCCTTGATTATCCCTGAAAGAAGTCTGCCCTCCTCACCGAGCCTACAGAAGTCAGAATGTCCTCTTACCAGGTGCATCCCTATGGAAGTGGCCATCGCCGTCTCAATCTCCGTTCCCACGTCCTCAACGAAGGGGTATTCATCCTGCCGGTGGATAATCACCTTGGCCCCAGTGGAGGACACCAGGAAGGGGTTATACTCCTCTTCGTTTATGTGCAAGATGACCTGCAGCCCTGGGAGGACAAGGCAGCCTGCTGTGGTCAAAGGCTAGGAAAACATTCCCTGGAGGCAGCCTGCCTCTCCTGCTGCTTCAGGAGCCTCAAGACCAAGACCCAAGCATTTCCAACAAGTGAAAGGTGGACAGGGGCCACACTGGAAGCTCCACGAGGCGAGGAGTTCTGCTAAACGTAAGTCAGAGAACTGCTACCCTGCCAGGGACATGCATCTCCTCACGGCCCTTTGAAATGGGGAGTTCTGCTGAGCATGCAGAGGGACGGGCAACACTGTGGCTGCTTAAACCCTCAGGGAGAAGCACTGATGGTGCATCTATCTGATCACGGACCTAACTTCTCTCCCTGCTCCTGCTTTCACCCTGCAGGCGATTCTGCACCCAGCAGCCAAGGGACCTTTTACATCAGAAATCTGATCAGCTCACTCCCTTGCCTGAAACCTGTCACTGGATACATGGGAACCCACAGAATAAGATCCATAAACTCGACTGTGGCTGTCAGGCTTTGATGACGCGCTCCCTTCTCCTCCCACTCTCCTCCTCCCTTGAGAAGCTCCAAGCACGCTGGTCTTTCTGTTTCTAGAGCATATCAAATTCATTTCCTTCTCAGGATCTCATGCTTGCTAGTGCCCAGAATGCTCTTCTGCGGACTTTCAGACATATCTTCTCATCCTTGAATATCCCTCCTCACAGAGGCCTTTCTGGACCTGCTTATCTGAAATAAAACCCCCATCCCAACCCCAGGCCCTCTCTCTTCCCCGGTGCTGCTTTCTTTTCCTCATTAGCATTTACAACTGGATAATGTCTATGCACTTGTTCACTCATCTGCTTCTCTCCACTATAATGCAAGTCTCCTGAAAGCAGAGACGGCATCTGTCATGTTCACAGGCACCTGGAAGAGGGCCTGGCACACAGCAGATACTCAATAAATGATTGGTAAATGAACAAGTGAACTGAACAAGCACGGTCTCTATGGATTGAAAGAAGAGAACTTAGAGAGTCATTCTGACTCTTTTCATTTATAAATAAAGGAACCAAAGCCCAGAGTGGGGAAGTGATTTGCTCAAGGTCACACAGCCTATATGTAGCAGAGCCTGGGCTGTGCAACTCCTTGCTCCCAGTTCCCAGACAACTTCCCACTGAAGTCTGTGCCCTCAATTCCACTTCCTGGCACTCTTGGTAAGAGCACAGACTGCACAGAAACAGGGCCAGGAGTCCAATGTGGTTTTCCTCCACGACAAGGCCTGGCCTTTCTTTGTGGGAGTAAATTCAATTTGCTTAGGGCCTTTCAAGAATTCTTTTTATAGGTAAGCCAGGCCAACCTGTTGAGCTCCTGCCTTCCCTACAAAAGTCGTGGTAACAGAATGGTAGTAATGGTAATCCTGGAGGTAGTGATAGTTGTATTGGTGGTGGTGCCAGTAGAAGCAGCAGCAATGGTAGAACAGAGCCATGCTAGTAATGGTAGTAATGGTAGTAACGGCAACCACAACTAGCATTTAGTGTGTGCTTAGTGTGTGCTATGGACTGAATTTTGTGTCCCCCTCCCCATATGTTCAAGCCCCAACCCCTGATGTGACTGTATTTGGTGACAGGGCCTTTAGGGAGCTCATTAAGGTTAAACGAGGTCATAAGGGTGGGCCCTAATCCCATGGGGGGGGACATCCCTACAAGAAGAGGAAGAGACAGCAGAGCTCTCTCTCTGCACGCCACAGAGGAAACGCCACATGAGGACACAGCAAGAAGGCAGCTGTCCGCAAGCCAGGAAGAGAGGCCTCCCCAGAAACCGAATATGCCGGCACTTTGGTCATGAACTTCCAGCCTCCAGAACTGTGAGAAAATAAATGCCTGTGTTTAAGCCACCCAGTCTGTGATATTTTGTTATGGCCGCCTGAGTAGATTAATACAGTATAATCGGGTCTTATTCTAAGTGCTTTATACATTTTGAGCCCTCTTAATAATCTTGTATCCGAGATACTGTCATTATCCCCACTTTACAGATGAAGTGCAGCAACTTGCACAGGGTCACACAGTGAGAGGCAGAGCTGGGTTTTGGCTCCAGAATCTGTCGACTAAGATAAAGGTGTGCTTGCCTTGCTAATTTCCTGTTCAGCATATCTGGGTTTAACTCTATCTGGAAGCCGCCTGCCTTGCATTACTCAATCCAGCAAGAAGCCAAACCAGAGTGGTTTCCCTGGAGGAGGAACCCCAGCAACGTCCCTGTTGCTCTCTCAAAAGTAAAGAGGAGACATCAAAAAGGAAAACAGGTACCAAGAAAGAAGGAAGGAACCAACACAGAAGCTAATGGAAACACTGCAAAAGGAAAAATGGTATCCCTGGTTTCCAGCCAGGTGGACAGATCCTGTATTTCTGGAAGGTTCAAGTGGCCCCAATTGTCCTGTGGCCAGCATGCTCACTGTTAGAGGACCCCGGAATCTCCTTGGTGCAGAATTCCTTACCATATTCACTGCCCCCCATGGAGGTGCTGAGGATAGTTTCATTTTGTCTGTTGTTGAATGTGTAGCAATTCCCATACATCGGATGGTGGAAAAGTGTGAAGTTCCTGTGGAGGAAGATTCTGGGTCAGAAAGGGCTGTGCTGGGGAGTCCCTCATGCGTCTGAGCTGAAGTCTCGATGGGCAGTGCCCACAAGGCCAGCTCTCTCTGTGGACAATGGATGACAGACACGACTCACTTGCCCCACCTTTCCTGAGATAAATAACAAACAAGGCTCCTCATCTGGTTGACACATGTTGACGGAGAACTACTTTGTGCTTTCTGTTCTCCCTCTTAATCCTCTCACCGCTGTCTCCATCCTAACTTGGTATTCCTTGTGCCAACGTATCTGTCCCAAATTCCTCTGCTCTTGAATTTCTCAGCCAATACTTGACATTTTTCCACTCCATCCATAGGAAATGATCCCCAGAGAAGTAATCACATCATACATGCCCTCACACTGACTTTAGAACCCAACCCTTAGGGAGACATGATTCTAATCACTCAGTTTTCGCAGACCAATATAACTACCAACATACAGAAAGCCTTGGTATTTAAAAAGAATGAGGTAAGCCCTTCAGAGAGGCAGGAACAATTTATTTTTTATTTTTTTGTTGAGGATGATTAGCTCTAAGGTAACATCTGTTGCCAGTCTTCCTCTTTTCTTTGCTTGAGGATGATCAGCCCAGAGCTAACATCTGTTGCCAATCTTCCTCCTTTTTTGCTTAAGGAAGATTAGCCCTGAGCTAACATCTGTGCCAATCTCCCTCCACTTCATATATGAGTTGCTGCCTCAGCATGGCTGACAAGTGGTGTAGGTCCACGCCTGGGATCTGGGCCCGCAAACCTGGGCTCCCTGAGCCGCCGAAGTGGAGAGTGCTGAACTTAACCACTATGCCAGGGTGCTGGCCCCAATGGGAATGTCCCATCACTGCTCAGTCACAACCAGGGATCCGAGTGTTAACTTAAGGGCAGAAAGGTTTGAAAGCTCACACGTCTGTACACAGACCTTTTTTCTTCCCTTTCTCCTTCCTTTCCTTCTTTCCTTCCTGTCTTCCTCTGTGCTAGATCGGTGGTTATCAATCATTGGTATGCATGATGGTAATATACAAGGTTATACGTACACCATCAGCTACTTGGTTTTCATGAGTAATTTGATGAGTTTAAGGATATTTTGACTGTATGCCATCTCCACTTCCTCACTGACTCTAGAGCCCAGCTCCCGTGTAAGCTGTTTTCCAAAGGGCAAGGTCAATGAGAAGAGCACTTTTCCTTCCCAAGACCCACAGCTGAGCTGCAGGTGCATGCAAGAAGCCTCGAGCTGAGAGAGCAGCTTCCTTTCCTGACCTGGCATCGCAAGACACCCCGTCAAAGAAGCAAGTAACCAGCAGCTCCTCGGCAGAGTAGCTCATGTTGATTTTCTTCTCCAGAGACACCTGGGCCATGATGTTCATGTAGTGCAGCTTGTACCACTCCTGGATGGCATTGACCCCCGAGCTGAAGGTGTAGACAGCACAGTTGGACGTGTCATTTGAACACTGTGAATAAGAGGAGACACTGGGCTGAAGCCATTGGCCCTACCACTGACCTTCAGCAGGACTGGACGGATGAGGAACTGAGACTCGAGAACAGACACTTAGGGGAACAGGAGGGATACCTGGGGCAAGATGGGCTTCCTTTCACTTCTGGGAGACATCATCCTCCAGCCTCAAGGACCAAGGAGGGACTGAGCAAGGAAGGACAACACAGTCTCACTCTCCTGACTCCCTATCAGGAGAGAAGCAAACCCAGCTTCTTCAGGTTCCCCAGACATCCAGGCTGCAGCTGATCATTCCACTGAGTTCCTATACAACCCTTACCATTTCCCTGTGGATCAGCAGTCTAGAAATCTGGATTCTAGCCCAAACTCTGACAATACTTCTCTGCTGGATCTTAGGCAAGGCATTATGTATCCATTATTGCACCTACAAAATGTGGATGAAAATACCATCCTTCCCAACCTCACATGGTAGTTGAGAGGACCAGCATTTAAAATATATAATAATGAGAGCTTTACAGCGAAATTGTGGTACATTCTAGAAGTTCTCATCCCACAGGGCTTGGAAACTCTCCTAAAAGATGGACATCAAAGGACTGATTTTGGTATCAAAGAGAACCTCATGGGTATCTTATGAAAGGACCCAGGAAGACTTTGAAAAGTCTCAACGGTTAAGAAAAAGGGCCCGGGCCAGCCCAGTGGCACAGCGGTTAAGTTCACATGTTCCGGTTCTCGGCGGCCCGGGGTTCGCCTGTTCAGATCCTGGGTGCGGACATGGCACCGCTTGGCAAAAGCCATGCTGTGGTAGGCGTCCCACGTATAAAGTAGAGGAAGATGGGTATGGATGTTAACTCAGGGCCAGTCTTCCTCAGAAAAAAGAGGAGGCTTGGCTGTAGTTAGCTCAGGGCTAATCTTCCTCCGTAAAAGAGAAAGGGCCATTTTTTCGGATTTGTGACTGGGGCCATGAGGTCTCATAATCTCAATCAAGCCTATAATGGATGGAAGTAGTTCTCATCCGGCAGAGGTGGCTGGGGCATGGAGAGGAGGGGGGTGACTGAGTTTGCCCAGGAAGGTTATGGGATTCACTTTTGGTGAATGACTGCTTCTTCAGAGCCCCTCAAGTAGGACCAAGAAGGAGAGATGAGAAGTCAGGCTATAAGCACCTCACAAAGGCAAATACTACAAGGAACACTGGGAGTTTCTGCTGTTTATCATCTATTTTCTTCCTTCTGACGTCTGCATCCCAATTTTGCTTTGGCAGAATTTCCTTTCCCCCTTTGGATACAGTCTGGTGAGACTGTCCATCAAGATGCCCCACCCTCCATAAACCATCAGGTGATCCAGTCTTCACCAGTCAGATAGTCCCAAGATGGGCTTGAATCCATCTTTATGGATGGATTAACAAAAGACTGCAAATAGTTGAAGCTTATTTACTCCAGTAGTAGATATGAAATAACTTTCCAGCATTTTTTGCCACCAAGATCCCTGGATCTTCCTTAATTTCTGTCCTTTGAGATGCCTCCCTGAGCTACTGGTTACCGTCTAAGACTTTTTTTTCTGCTTAAGATTGCCTGAGTCAGTTTCGGTTGCTTGCATCCACTTCACCCTATCTGGGTATGTTTCTACCTGGGGGACTGCAGGGGCTAATGGCAAAGGAGAAAGCTCCCTGGACCCACTATCTCCAGCCCATCCCATGCCCCAAACTGTAAGAACATGCATCTCACCAGTTGGAATCCCACCACCTCCTTGGACTCGTGGACGTTCATGACATCTGATTCCTTGCGAATGATGCTCCCGCTGACTTTCCGCTTCCGCCCTGTGAGGAAGTCCCTGGCCTTGCCCATCTCACCCTCTTTGAAGGCCAGCAGTGGGACCAGGTTGAGGAATTTGGGCCGTGTGCCCTCCCAGACCGAACTCCAGGACTCTGCGTCTCGGCGTTTCCGAGACTTAATCTCCGAAAAGCCATACAGGGTTTTCAAGGCCCCTCTTGTCTCCTGTTCCAAGTCGGCTAGAAGGTCCCGCACAGCACTGTACCTGTCAAGGTGGGAAGGAGGAGTGAGGAAGAGTGGAAGCCCCTCTGGCGGAATGCCCACAATTTTTGTGCTGCTTTCCATCAATGTGTGTCAACCTGGTGCCCACTGCTCCCGCCCCTTTGGCCAAGAAGACCAGGCCTTCCATGACTTGCCCCATCCAAAGTGACTGCCAGCTCGAGTAAATGGGGACAGGCTCCGGTGTGACCCTTGTGTGACTTCCTGTGGCTTTACCTCTGTCACTACTCTCTGCTTGCTCTCAGGGTGTGTTGGCAAGTTTGTCCCAACCAGCATTTCTGGAGTGGTGACTATCAAGTACTCCCATAAACCAGCCACAGTGAGGACAGGTAAATAACTGCTAACCAAGAGTCCACCCAGGGGCAGGCTCTGTCTCCACCCAGCACACTTGCCCCTGCCCACTGACTGTCCTCGAGTCTGGGAGCGCTGGGAAGGAAGACGTGTAACTGTCAGCTCGACAACCCCCAGGAATAAGGATACAGGAGCTGACCGCATGAAGCATAATGACACCAACTTTTAATTTTCATGATACCAAATGGTCCTGGCCTCCCTCTTAGGTTCCCCCCTGTCTCCCCTCTCTCCTCCACTTGCTCTGGGCAGAGGCAACACAGCATAGTGATGGGGCATATAAACTCCAGAGCCAAACTACATGGGTACAGTTCCCCACCCTGGTTCTGGATATGTGACTTTGGACAAGTCATCGAGCCTTTCTGTGTCTCAGTTCCCCCATCTGTAAAGTGGTGTTATTGGGAAGAGTCAATGAGTTTATTATCTCTATCTATCCATCTATCTATCTTTGTGTCTACATGTGCTTGTGTGTGTATATATATGTAATCAAGTGGTCGCTATTATTACTTTTCCTAGCATAATTACATTTGATAATATTTCATTCCTCTACTACAACATTAGCTCCACCAGGACAAAGACTGTGTTTGGGCTGTTCAGTTCTATGCCTCAGAACCTAGCACAGAGCATGACAATTTGTAGGTGATTAGTAAATGATTATGGAACAAACAATGGATGAAAGGAAGAAAGGAGGAAGGGAAGGAGGGAGGGAGGAAGAAAGAAAGAAAAGACCATGAGGTGGAGGATGAGTCTTAGACCTGATTTTGATTTTGGGCTTTGCCACCAACTCATTGATGACTCTGGAACGGTTATTCCCCTTTGGTAACCTCCCTCCCCTGCTCTTGCCTTCTCCCAACCCCCACACCTGCTCTGAGAAATTCTGCCAGACTCTGACCTGCCTCAGAGCAGTTTTCGACAATCCTGAGGACTCCAATGACATATATAGAACAGGTCCTGCGGCAGACAATAGGGCAGTACCAACAGCTGACCTGCTCAGAGCCCAGCCATCTCAATTAGTGGGGCTGGGTTCACTCAGGTGAGGGTTTGGGGCAGGTGAGATGCTTCCGGAAGTCACCTGAGTGTCATGTCTGAGTCAGCCTCGAGCTCACAGTCTGGGGAGAGTGAGGGTGTGAACTTGGAGAGCTCAGGAGATATGGCTACGCTGGGCTTAGTGTGTGTGCGTGTGTGTCTGTGTGTGTGCACGTCCAGGGTGAAGGGTTCTAGTTCATTCCAGGCCCAACCTGCAAGCGAAACTGATCCTTGCAGGCTCCCCCTCCTGCCTTCCCCGAGTTAGCCCATCCTCAGAAGTGGGTGACGGACTGAACACTTGGTACAGATTTAGAACCTGGGAGGGAGAAGTTTACCAAGGTTGGCGACAAATTCCACTTTCTACAAAGCATGTCTGCAGGCCAGAGTGTGTCACTTCAGAAGGGGCTCTGGCATCTGCCAGCACTCCATGTCCCTGCTCCTGCCTCTTACTTGTAAGGGTTAATGTTGCAAATGGTGACAGCAGGAAAATCCAGCTTCTGGAAGTGGATCTTGATGGAGACAGAGACGGTGTAGAAGGAGATGACGAGGAGGGCACACTGCCAGAAAATCAGGGCCACGGCTGTGAGCGTGAACAGAATCCAGAGCAGGCGCCGCAGGCGGCCGCGGGATACCACGATGCGGCGGCAGCCATGGGTGTTGGTGTTCAGGCAGTACCACCGCATCAGCTCTTTAATGGTGGGCGCCTGAGGCCCCGTAACGGGCAGATTCTTCTTGATTTTGGCTTTGATCTTCTCTCCAGGAGCCATGGCAGGGATGGGACTGTGGGGCACAGGCAAGCTAGAGGGGCAGAGAAGAAAAGCAGGCGAGCTCACAAACCTGGCCTCTTGGCACGTCCCTGGAGGCCAGGTGCTGGGAAACACCAGTCCACGTGCCCTCAGAGGCCACTTTCCTTTTCCCCGCTGTGAGCTGGACAGCCTGCATTCTAAGGCCTTGGCCTCTTCTCTAGGATATTTGTTTTTTGGCCACCATAGCTGCCAAAGAGCTGCCTTCTCCTCTTGCGGCCCCCAGGCCAGGCCAAAGGGGGCTGGGTGAGGTTTAACCCGTGGATCCCTGGACAAGTTTGAAGGACCTTCAGTCCTTCCCTCCTGCCTGGAGCAGCTCCAATCAGCCTCTGCACCCCTCTTAGTATGCTCTACCGTGATTCAAGCCTTGCCACCTACGCCTTACCACCTCGGTTAGCCTGCCCTCCTCGAGGGCAGCATCCTACCCCGTCCTGCCCCCTGGTGCCCAGCTCGGTGTCTGGCACTGAGCAAACAGAGCAAAGCCTGAACAAATCGATTCCAACAGATAAAATCTGCCAAGAGCATTTCCCCGCAGCCTCCCTAGGTCGTGTTCAGTCCCTTCCCGACCGTGTCTTCCCAGCCCTTGCCTGGGGCTTGACTGCCAGTGGAGTGTTTCTGTTTCATTTCTGTTTCACATCTTCCCTTTACAGTCAAAGCCCTTCGTGTCTCTAGAGCGCCTAAAAGAACAATAGCCTACAACCATTGGCCACTTAATATTTGCCAGGCACTGTGTCATATTTCCTTGATTCTAAGATACCACTAATTTAGGGAATACACTTTGATTTAATAACAACTTTGTTTGGGGGAAAGTGTTGGAAAGCATATTACCACATTCACAAATGAACGTGATGCATCTCAATTACAGGAACTTTACAATGTGAAATAACATTCTTTTTAGAAATGAACTAATGTATATGTATAGGGTCATCTCATGCTTACAACATATATAGTCTCATTAATCTCATAAATATATAGTCTCTCCCTCTCTGTCTATATATATATATATATATACACACATGATCTCTATATATTTCATTTCATATTTCAACAACCCCACAAGGTATGCATATTATTGTTATCTCCATGTTACAGAGGAAGGAACTGAGCTCAGAGAGGTGGAGTAACTTGTGCAAGCTCACACAACTAGTAAGTGGAAGAGTGCAGCCTTCACCATCATGGCGTCTGCCTCTGAGGGGCCTGGTATTGCGCTGGGTGCTGCCCCCTCCCCAAGACAGTTAATTAACAGCACCCAGAACTAAAGGAAGGAGGAAAGAGAAGAGATTTTGAACTATTTAATTTCCAAACTCTGGACAGTAGATGTGACTGCTTCCCACAGTAGTGAGCACTGGTATTTCGGGAGGAGGTATATGGAAACCCTGTCCCCGATGCCTACCGTAGGTGACAGACACAAATTAGGACATATTGTAACTTGGAGAAGGATATACAGGGTGGTCCCCATGCCCCCAGAGGGCCTGTGTCAGGACAAGAACTTTAGTTTGGCCCATCGGGTTCTTCAGACAGGAGTCTGGACTGGAGGAGTTACTTTTTCTCCACCCTGAACCCATAAGATATCGTCCCAAATCGGGAGCTGGGGCAAAGCTGGGAGGCTTTCAAGTTTAGGATGCTAATGGGTTTCAGGTTTATGATGCAAAAGAAATAGAGTACAGGGCGGGGCTGGGGGAGTGGGTTGGGGTAGAGGCCATGCAGCCAAACCGCTCCAAACCCTCCACAGAGGTATATGGTCTTGCTGGGATGAAGGAAACCATCTCTGACCTCAGAATTATGCTATTAGCCTCTTGGCAAGAGGAATGTAATTTATTTTGTTTTATCATTTAAAATATTGTCCATCCTCACCTCCTCTCTCAAAAACAGTTAGCAAGAGTTTGTTTTCAAATCCTAGGTCCAGGTTCAATTTATTGTCAAATAAAACCGCAACCTAGGGAAGGTTGTCTCTCCTGTGAATGTTAATCACTGGGGTCCCTCTGCCCCGTCAGCCCCTTCCCCAGGACTGACCTTGACCCCAGTGGATCAGCCACCAATGTCAGTGAAGCCACAAGTGAAAGAAATGAACCGATCGAGCTCATCACAAAACATAAATGTTCGCACAAACAATGTTTCAACTTCAAAGCAAGGTTGCAGCTGCTATTATTTTGCACCGCTTTGCAGGATTAAACATGATGCATGGTGGGAGAATTAGTAGCTGACACACAGCCCTCACTCTTCTAGGCATTTAATTTCCACAACAGTCTTCTGAGGTAGCTACCATAACTTCCTCCATTACACAAATGCAACTGAGACACTGAGAGGTTATCCTACCCAAGGTCACCTAGAAAGTGGCTGAGTTGGGATTTGAACCCAGGAGTCCAAGCCTTTAACTACTAGCTATGCCGCTCCACCCATAATAATAACAACAGCAATAATAGCAGCTATCATATATTGATCCCTCACTCTACTCCCAGGCAACTTACTCAGCTCTTTTCACACACCATCTGATTTAATCCTCACTATAATTACATGAGCTACTAGTGCTACCCCCGTTTCACAGAGGAAACGGAGGTGCACAGAGGTAAGGCAACTTGCCCAAGGCCACACAGCTAGGAAGGATTCTCTGGAATGCCAGGGTACTGGTTTACGCCAGCGACGCTACTGCATCCCGCTCGCCTCCCCGCCGCCCCTCCCGCCCCCAACTTCACCTTATCCCCATACCACGGTGAGGAAACCCGAGCCTTAGGCTTTGGGCGCAGGACCCGAGCTCCTCCGGGGCGACTCTGCAGCCCCTGGCCACCCCGCGCAGAGCCACCGACCGGATGCTGTCCTGTGGCCAAAGCCACGTCCGCCCCAGGGCAGCCCCGGCCGAAGCCGCAGGAGAGAATCCAACCAACTCGCTTCAAGTGTTTGCTTCTTTCCGCAACCGCAATCACCCCAGAGAAAACATTCCAGAGGGTAAAGGGAACAATCGCGGTCAAGTCCATGCATCTCACCAAGGCCAAGAAGGAGGCCGAGCAGGTGCTGGGCGGAGAGGCGAGGGGCGGCCCCGGAGTCCAGGAGCCCTGGACCTCGTTACTGAGAACTGACTCCACCTCGGCTCTGCGCCCCGGGCCACAGCGCGGGCAGACGCCAGAGAGCTGGACCCGGATTGATGTGGGAAGGTGCCCCAGCATCCCAGCCTCGGGGGGGCAGCCTAGGGCTGACGCCGGCACCGCCATCGACCGTGCGGACGGCGTCCGGGAAGCCACAGGGCCCCGTGTCCGCTCCGGTGCCCGAACTCCCCGAACTTGTGCGACCCGACCCGGCTGGACTCACCTCACTCAGTTCCAAAGGGTCCGGGACTCGCGTGAGCGCGAGCTGGGTACGCTCTGTTCTGCTCCCAGTGCAGCGCAGGCATCCAGCAGCCGGAGAGGCCACTGGCTCTTGTGGGCCTGGCCTGGGCTCCGCCCTGGGGCCCCGCCCCCTCGGGCCTGCCCTCACCTGCCCAGGTGTAATCCCCACGCGGCCGAGGATATGCGGCTGCCCAGAGCGGGCCACGACTCCGCAGCGCCCCCTGCTGTCCCGAGGCCTCTCTGCGTCCCGGCCCGTCCCGCGCTGTGCCTTCCGGTGGCACCGCGCAGTGCCTGGTGCCGCCCTGAGGCGGCCCTGTACCCTGCATTCCCGCTGGGAATGCACCCAAGCACCTGGCAGCGCCTCCTGCCGTCCTGTTACTGCCCAGCCCCTTCTACTCTTGTCCAGTTGGGCGTCCTCTCACCAGCAGAAGTTTCAAACAGCCTCTTGCCCAGGGCTTCATCCTCCACCTGCGTTGGGCTGTGGGCAGCAGGGCCTGTTCAGCCAGGCTGCTCATCCTTCGGTCTCTTCAGCCGCCTTTCTACAGGGACTCAAGGTGATAACTACAAGAAATGAACTTAGAAAATTGCAACTGGGAAGGACCACAGACGACACCTCCATCACATCCCCTTTGGGTAGGGAAGAACCAGGCCAGAGAGGGGAAGGGATCTGTTCTCGCTCAGAGCTTCTCAGACTTTAACGTGTATGCAATCACCTGCGGTTGTGTTAAAATGCAGATTCTAATTCAGTAGGGGTCGGGTGGGGCTTGGGAATCTGCACTTCTTTTTTCTTTTTTCCTTTTTGATGGGGAAGATTGGCCCTGAGCTAACATCTATGCCAATCTTCCTCTATTTTGTATATGGGACGCTGCCACAGCATGTCTTGATGAACTGTGTGTATGTCCTCACCTGGGATCTGGGCCCACGAACCCAGGGTTGCAGAAGCAGATCACGCGAAGGTAACCACTTCACCAGCAGGCCAGCCCCGGAATCTGTATTTCTAATTTCCCAGCTGATGCCTCTGTTGCTGGTCCAAGGACCACACTTCGAGCAACAAGGTGAATGGAAACATGTTCAGTATTTTTGGAGGACAATTTAAAGAAAAGCCTGTAAAAAAATCTCAAGTGTTTTTTTTAACAATACATGCTTATTGTAAAGAATTGAACAATAAAGAGAAAGTGGAAGTCTTTCAATAATCTTCAACCCCTCTAAATAAGCATGGTTAACGGTTTGGTTATTATTTGATATATATATATAATAACTGTGTACATATTACGTATATAATGGGATTATGAAACACAGTTTTTTAATTTTGTAAAATTGTTTTCATGACAATATACTACACAGTTATATTCTCATGGTAAAATAAAGCCAGCTTTTTCACTTCATGGTACATTACGAGTAATGTTCCCTGCCAATATATACATTTACCTAAGTATTCCACTCACATAACTTATTTACTCAATCTATTGATATATTTAAGGTTGCCTCCAATTTTTTACTAATATATTTTGTGTATTATATCTTCAAGTGCATCTCTGATTATTTCCTTGGAATAAATTCCTACCAGTGGAATTCTTTTCTATCAATATACTTTCCCGGTCTAATTGGCACTACAAAAAGAACCGTTAGAAAAGAGCATGCTGGGGGCCGGCCTGTGGCTGAGTGGTTAAGTTTGTGTGCTCTGCTTCGGTGGCCCAGGGTTTCACCAGTTCGGATCCTGGGTGCGCACATGGGACCACTCATTAGGCCATGCTGAGGCGGCATTCCACATAGCACAACGAGAAGGACCTACAACTATAGTATACAACTATGTACTGGGGGCTTTGGGAGGAGAAGAAGAAAAGAAAGATTGGCAACAGTTGTCAGGTCAGGTGCCAATCTTTAAAAAAATCAGTCTGTTAAAAAAAAAAAAGAAAAGAGCAGGCAGGCTGCAAACATAGTATGTAGAATAATAAAATATATATCAAAATGTTAAAAAAATGTTATCTCTCAGAGTAGGCTTACAAGTAATTTTTACTTATCCATGTTTTATTGTTTTTCTATAACGGGGAGATTATATATAAATATCTAAAATAGATTTATTTTATATATATTAAATATATATCTATGTATATATCACCTGTGCCATATAAGTAAGAATGTTTTTTAAAAGATAGCAAGCTAGTTGAAGTCAGGGATGAAATCTATGAAATCAGATCTATGTCACTATCAGATAGAGTGAATTTAGGCTGAACTGACTTCTTTTTAAAAATCAAGTTAAAATTTATATACAGTGAAATGCATAGATCTTAAGGATACAGTTCAATGAATTTTGGTAAATGTATGCACTCGTGTAACCATCACCCTAACCAACACGTAGAACATTGCCAGAAAGTTCCCTCAGCTCCTTTCTACTCAATTTCCACCCGGGCAACCACGGTTCAGATTTATATCACAATAGGTTAGTTTTCTTGGTTCTTAAACTTCATCTAAATGGAGTCATATGATATATACTCTTTTGTGTCTGGTTTCTTTCATGAATTCAATTCTGACTTTCATTTTTCCTCCATGTCACTATTGCCTCTGGTTACCCAGTTTTACAGATGAGGGGACCAGATCTCAGAGAGGTTAAGTTTACCATTTGTTAACCAGTAAGTAAGTGGTAGAACCAAGATTTGCATCCAAATCTGCTCTTCTCCAAAGCTGACACCACACTTATCCACAAAGCTGCACGAGAATCTTTCTGTGAGTAGGACCAACCCCCATCCTCCCAGGTCCCACATGAGGAATGACAAAAAGTCTTCAGAATGGCTGAGTTGGAGAGAAGCCCCTCACGTTGTAGGCCACAGGGCAGCAAGCTTCCTGTCAAGATGACTGCACAGGGCATGGTCAATCAAAGTTACAAAAACTATCTTGGGTACAGAGTGGTGCTGTCTCTGAACCACCCCTGTCATCATTAGACCATAGGCAACTTCCTTTCCCTCTGGAAGCATCAGTGTGAAGTTTTGTAAAATATATCTGCGATCTACTTCTCACCACCTCTGGGGCCACCACCGTGCTCCAGTCCATCATCGTCTCTCATCTGGATCATTGCCGTGGCCTCCTAATTAGTCTTGCTGAGTTGGCCCCCTATAGCCTACTGTCAATATACTAGCCAAAGGGATCCTATTCAATTAGAGTCAGATCATGTCACTCCTCTGTTTAAACCTGTTCGCTGGCTTCTTACTTCATTAAGAGTAAAAGCCAAATGGTCAGTGACCAGAGCCTCCATGACCTTACCCGTGTCGTCACCCTTCCCTCATCTCTACCACTCTTACTCTGGCTCATTCTGCTTTGTTCTCATTGGCCTCTGTGTTGTCCCTTATATCTAACTGACGCAATCTTGCCTTAGGGCTTGTTACCGGTCTTCACTCTACCTGAACCACGGTCTTGACACACACACATGCTCAGATAATCATGTGGATCACCTCCTTGCCTTCAAGTCTTTGCTTTATTATTAATCAGTTAGAACTTCCCTGGCTACCCTATTTAAAATCACAATGTTTCGCATCTTCCTAATACTCCCTATCCTCCTTCCTGTGTTACTTTTCTGGAAAGCAAGCCCAATCAAGGTAAGCAGAATTGCCTAACCAACCTTCCAGCTGACTCTAGGTGCACTGGTCATGCCATATTGTTGTGGCAATTGATAACTGGTACAACTTCATTCAAACAGAAGCTTTGAAAGACCCAAACATTTCAGGACTACTGGGACTAGTGACAGGCTCAGCAGCAAGTCACTGATAGAAGAGCTCATGCCCTGGGAAATGCAACCACCAGGGGCGCCAAGTTCAGAGAGCATTAAAATCATTTACATGCAAGATCAGCTACTCCTTCCACAATGCTACTCAAATCCTGTGACTGGAATTAGTCTTGGTAAAGTTGTTTGGTTTCAAGCAACAAAAACAGATTCAGATGAGCATAAGCAAAACCAAGAAATTATTAAATGGATACAGGCAGAAGTCCTTTACAGAATCCAAAGAAACACAAATAAGGCCTCAGGAGAATGGGAACTAGTAAAGATCCAGATGCCTCAGGAGGAGGATTTTGTTAGCTTTCTTAAGTTCCCAAACTCTCTCTCAGTCTCAGTGGATCCCCAGAAAGAATTTGATTGCCTGCTAGCCTGCCAATGAGATAGCTTCTTTAGCTCAGGTGTCCTCTTCCCTGGTCCAATCAGCTAGCACCATGAGGGTAGGAACATATAGAACAAATATGGTTGTCAAAGTCCACCACTATGGGTGAATGGGCAATTCTCAGAGAACATGGCTATGAATGAGGAAGGAACCTTAAAAGGAAGTGAACCAACACTTCGTTTTGTTATCAATAATACCATTTCTAGGCTACTTAGGAAAAGGCAATATTAGACTTACAGGGTCCCCTAAATAGACAGATTTTATAGACTTGCTCGCCCAAAACAATGATGTAGTGATTATTTGTTGTTGTTGGGTTTTTTTCCTACCAACATCCATTTTCTCTTATTTTGGAGACATCCCCGAATTTCTTTTGGAGAACTATTCATTCCCATTTCTCAGTCCACATGGTTCAAGTTGGGTTGACCCCACGCCCCCCCCCCCCCCCCGCCCCCGGCTCTAGGTCTAGCCAATCAACTTATCTTATCACTCAGGTCACAGTGTTTTGTTTAAAAGTTGGCATGGGCCCCAGTTCAATCCAATGAGAGTCAGGCCCATTGAAGACATTTTCTGGAAGATTGCAAAGGAGAACCTCTCTTTCTGTTTGAGCTACTAGCAGAAAGGAATATGTAATCTAAGAGCTGTGGGGAGTATCATGTGGTGCCTGGGAGTGAAGCCAACACAAAGAAAAGGGGAGCTTAGAGATGGAGAGGGTTCCCTCCCTCATAATAAATTGTGAGTCTTTGGACCCAGCACAACCTAAAGCTGGGTCTACCTCCTTGACTTTTTAGTCACATGAGCCAATACATTTGCTATTTTGCTTAAGAAATTTTTAGCTCAATTTTTCTCACTAGAAGCCAAAAAGAGTCCCAAGTAATATAGAGGATAAAAATCCTATCTTCCCAATGTGGTTATATAAATACAATGGAATACTACTCAGCCATAAAAAGATGAAATTGTCCCATTCGCAACCACGTGGATGGACCTTGAGGGCACCATGTTAAGCAAAATAAGCCATACAGAGAAAGACAAACACCATATGATTTCACTCATGTGTGGAATATAAACAAACTTGCAGACAAAAAGAACAAATTAGTGGTTACCAGGGGAAGGGGGGTGGAGGGTGGGCATAAGGGGTGAAGGGGCATACTTATAAGGAATATGACAAATAATAACGTACAAATGAAATCTCACTGTGTTATAAGCTATTATGACCACAATAAGAAAAATCCTATCTTCCTACTTGGATGAGGTGATGCCATCTTCTGTTCCTGTGTATTCTGTATCCAGTTCCAGACTCAGGACCTACAAATCTTCTGGGGAACATTTTTTAATGCCAGATGACACCCATGAGGACCCTGAACTACTAAAAGGGAAATTTGAACTCTGACAAGAGAATAGACTGTTCTTGATCCTGGACCTCCTTAGCTATCTCAATAAAGCCCAAAGTTCACCAAATTATCTCCGCAAGGTGACTTACAGCTTGATGTAAATCAGGTGTGGGGTCAATGGTATCCAAACTTCCAGGTTCATATTTATACTATATAATAGAATAGTAGGATTCTGAGAAGTCATCAACAAGGTCTTCCATGAGCTGCTGGGCTTATGAGGGGTGGTGGCATGATAAAAGATCATTCTTATTTATTAATCAGACCCTAATCCCCAATGACGTGGCAACTATTTCTGCGTATAGTCTTAGCTTGGGACACTAGCATCAATTGTCGCAATATTACAGAAATGCAAATTTGGCTACATCCATTTTCTAGGACACTTACTTTCTCCAAAGGGTACACATGCTTCTGAGAAAAGTTAGCATCATTTTCCCAGTGTAAGAAACATTCTTTTATTAACCATATTCTTTAAGGATCAAGAAACATGCACAGGTTACCTATGATGATGAGAGTCTTGTTGAAAGTACACACAAGATGACTATCACAGGAGATTTCTTGGAATCTGTTTCTCTTGCCTACATGGAATCCATTCCACTTTCAACTGGCAACAGAGCCTGCATTTTCCATTGGGGAATCATCTTCCCCTACCTCATGTCCATGTGATTGTGGTAGGAACCCCACTCTCAGCACCAGTCACTTCTCTCTCTGGCCACAGTTGGTTCTGAGAAGGGCATGCTTCCCAAGTGAGCCAATGAAAAACTTCCCCTGGGGAGAGCTTAACCAGCATTTTTGCTAACAGATGAAAAGTCTTGCTGACTTCCCAGCTGTGTCAGGATTTTCACTGCTCTATATCCCACCTACTAGGCTCTTGCCAGTTCTATATTTAGCATGCATCACCTAAAACAGTCCACTTCTAGTATTTATTTGTAATTTAAATAAGACAGAGTATATTGCAAGTATCAGAAACAAACAACCCTGAACTAGCTTAGGTTTAAGGACGGAACAAATTATCTCATGTACTTGGGAGTTTTTCTTCAGGCGCAGCTTAAACCTGGATTCAAAAGATGTCACCAGGTCCTGGTTTCTCTCCCTTTGAGTCTTGGCTCTACTCTCAGTGTTCATTCATAAGATGACTGCATTAGCTCCAGCTTCGAAACGAACATAACTAAGTCCAGCAGGACTGGTGGCTCAAGTAAAGACTGTAGGTTTAGTTCTGAATTTGGCTTTATTACTTTGCTTGAGGTATGTTTCAACCTCTAATTGGACACTATGATTAGAATAATGGAACGCACTGATTGGTTTAGGTTTGGATTACATGCTCCACCTTTGAGTACAACCAGCTTCACTGAAAACCAACTGGCTGAGACTGAGGAAGGGGTGGTTCCCCAAAAGCGAAATAAGAGTAAATTCTGGGTTGCAAAACATCTAGCCTTCCATCATTCCCCTACCTGTGCCTTCTTTGGCATTTATAATTGATAGTTGCTTCAGTGAAACTCTCTCTTCTCTTGGCTTCTCTGATATATCACTTTTTCTAAAATTTATTTATACTCCTTGGAACTTTTTGTAGTGCCTCTGTAGAGTTTACGGACTTTAGAGGATCATTGTTGGCGTTTAGGGACTCAGGAAGCCAGTCATGACAATTAACAGGAGATCTTAAATCTTCTGGCGAGTCAGAGGAGATCTAAAGTGGTTTGGAAGGCTTGATTAAACTGATCCTAAGGCTTGGGTGTCAGAAGCACAGGATTGGCTAAGTGTGAGAACCCAGTGGTAATAAGCTTGCTCCCAAGTTTGACTCTTTCCAGGATTCCTGTGGTTCTAGAATGACGGCCCTCAGATCTTGTGGATGTTATCTTGCCTCACGAGGATGGGATGAAGGCTTTCTCTTTAAGCATGCTCATTAACCTAGTCTTTCTGGAAACCTACTCTCCTTGATCATAGGGAGTAGCGGGTAGGATCCTTAGATTCACTTATTGTGAACTTCACAATGATTTTTCTGATGCTTCTTCTCTTGCAGGAAGCTAGCTGTAGATGATCAGCACCACGGACAGCAGCCATGGACGCTGTTGTGGGCTCGCCCTTCACGCAGGAGGTCTCTAATGGGATGCTCCTCTCCCACAAAATGCCACTTGCAGCTTTGAGATAGATACAGTAAGAAGGATGAAGTAGTGAAAGTGACCTCCTCCAGCCAGGTTATTCAGTTGCTACGGGTGAGAGATGTCACAGTCAGATTGTCTACAGAAACAGAAATGTATAGTCAATTCTTGATATTTGCATTTGCAATAGTTATGTTCTGTAAAGTTGCCACAAACAGTGAATTACCAAATACTGAACCATTACTCTTCGTTGAAATATAGAGCTAGGTTCTTGCGAGCTCTGATCACAACATAATCATCAACTGATCAATGCATAACTTTTTGAAATGTGTGTTTCTTTTTAAAGATATCTTATTTAACATATATTATTGATCCACTAACATTGAACTCATGGCCAACAGCACTATAAATTATGCATGAATGAAGCTCACCTAACAGATATCTTTTCTCTGAAAGGCACATCACAGCTTTCTCATGTTTAGGGACACTGGACAGTACTTCAGCGCCACAGTTGGGGACCATTTTAAACAGCAAAATCACCAACAAAAAGGCATAAAAATGTGAAAAACATGGCCCTAAATAGACTGCAAGAAGAACAGTTGTTTACAGAATGAAAGCTCAAATAAGAAGGCAGAGAAGGTGGATGTCCCAACTCAAGAAGAGAGAGAGGAAATTTGTTCTTTCGCTGCCTTTGTCTTCTATTCAGGCCCTCAGTGGATGAGATGATGCCTGCCCACATTGGTGAGGGCCATCTTCTTTACTCAGTCTACTGATTCAAATGATAATCTCTTCCAGAGACACCTTCGCAGAAGCACTCAGAAATAATGTTTTTCCAGCTATCTGGGCATCCCCATGCCCAGTCAAGTTGACATGTAAAATTAACCATCATGCCAGGTCTCAGGATACAAAAGATACTCAGAGGTTGTAGAAGCTCAAAGCCATAAAGTTCTATACTACTTAGTTTGCTCTTCCTTTTCTTGTGTCTTAGGGTGGAAGTTTAGCTTATTGACTTGAGATGTTTCTCTTCTTTAATATAGATATTATGACTATAAATTTCCCTCTAAGAATTGCTTGGGCCACATCCCATAAGTTTTGACATGTTGTGTCTTCATTTTCACTCATCTCAAAGTATATTCTAATTTGCCTTGGGGTTTCTTCTTTCACCATTGCTTATTTAGGAGTGTCTGGTCCAATTTCCATGTATTCGTGAACGTGCCATACTTCTTTCTGTTACTGATCTCTAATTTCACTCAGTTGTGGTCAGAGGACATATGATATATTATTTCAATCTTTTTTTTCGTATTGGGGGCTGCTTTATGGTCTACCATATGGTCTGTCTTGAAGCCCTACATGATTTAGCACCACAAAACCAGTTACCACTCTAGCCTCAGATCCTACTACTCACCCCTCATTTATTCCCCTCCAGCGACGTTGGCCTCCTTGCTGATCCTCAGACACACCTGGGCACGTTCCTATCTCGAGGCCTTTGCTTTGTTCTCCCTCTGCCTGGAACCCTCTTCCTAATTTTTGTCTACCTTACTGTTTCTCCTCCTTCTTTGCTCACAAATCACTCCCCAGAAAGCATTTCATGACCACTTTATTTAAAATTTCAGCCTCTACAAAAATGTTCTATTCCCTTTTCCTGCTTTATTTTTCTCCATATCATCAATTTTCATCTAATACACTGTTTATGTTACTTGCTTGTTGTCTGTCTTCCCCCATTAGAATGAAAGCTCCCTGACAGCAGGCATTTTTGCCTGTTTTGTTCATTGCTGTCTCCAGTGTAGAGTGCCTGGCACACAGTATGGCTCAATGTTTATTTTATGAATAAATGAATGAGTAAAATAACAGACTCCGTTCTAGTTTGGATTATGGTTGGTTCTCCTGGCTCTAGAAGGCTATGCCTGAGAAGAAAGAGGTGTCTCAAACAGTGGAAATGCTCGGCTAACTGCAGCCTGGGGAGTTGAATGGGCTGGTGAGAGACAGTTATATTACAATTTGTTTGTTCCATGAGGGCTGAAACCTGTTTGTAAATGATACACACAGGGCCAGCTTCATTGGTGTACGACTTGTGTAGTTGCACAAGGCCCCACACTTAGAAGGGCCTTGTGTTGGGTTTAATGCTCTGCTGTCACCATCTTAAAATTCTTCTTTTTTTGTGTGAGGAAGATTGGCCCTGAGCTAACATCTGGTGCCAATCTTCCTCTTTTTGCTTGAGGAAGACTGTTGCAGAGCTCACATCTGTGCCAATCTTCCTTTATTTTATGTGGGATGCCGCCACAGCATGGCTTGATAAGCAGTGCTAAGTCCACCCCAGGCTGCCAAAGCGGAGCGTGCGAACTTAACCACCATGCCACTGAGCCAGCTCCTTAAGATTCTTTATAATGTTTGAACAAAGGGCTCTGTATTTTCACTTTCCCTGGGCCCCATAAATTATGCAGATTGCTTGGATTTAAGAACATTGTAAGGGATAAAAGTGGGGAATTGCTGCAGCAAACATTAACGGAATCCAGCTGGACTCGAAGCTTTCCGAACAGAAGAGAAGCCAGTCAGAGTGAGAATATGGGCCAGAAAGTTCAGGTTCTGCAGGAGAAAAAAAATAGGCAAGCTAACATTTACTAAATTTTAAACACTATGAGGGCAAGGATCTGGTCTGTTTGTATTGGGGAAAAAAAGAATGGAAGTTTAATGCACTATTCTTTCACCTTTTGTCTATGTTTGAAAAATTTCATAACAAAAAGTTTAGAAAATCAGTAAAATAGTTAGCAATATGTGTCTTTTGACATAATGTGTACATTTCCAGGCTTGTTATTCATCTAGTGATGAAGCTGAGGATCTCTTGTCTCCTGGTTTGATCATATTGATCTTACTATTGATCTACATGGTTTGATTATATTGAGCTTACTGAACAATTGCTTGCTTTTCACAATGTTTTCAAGCATCTCTTAGCAAGTAATTAATTCAGATTATCAAGAGGAAGTTTGCTATTTCAATAGTTGTTAGTATCTTCTCAACAATCTCTTTAGAAAAAATTGAAATGTACTTAAATTTTGTTTGATCATATTAATCACTGTGAAAATGTTAAGCAATACAGAAAAAATGAAAATCTTGCTTAACAACCACTCACCTCAGACACACAATCCCACCTCACTATTAACAATTTTGTGTATTCTTTCAAACTTAAAATTTTTTATATAAATATAGAAAGCTATTTATCTTACCTGAGTGGGTTTATATTTCTTTGCAATATTCTTTTTTCACTTAACTACAAATTATGGTCATCTTTCCATGTAAATCCATAAAGAGGTATCATATTCTTTTTAATGGCTGCTTAGCATTTCCTATGCCACTTGGTCTGTAAGTATTTTTCTTTATCCCATTCAGCCAGCAACTTTTCATTAAAATATGAGGCAAGTAAGCAGGATTTTAAAAACATATTTAAAGTTAAGAGAACACTTTTTAAGAGATTCCAGGTTTTCTCCAGATTATCTCAATCAAGTTCCCGCCCCCCCCCCCCAACACAACTGAATTCGAGATACCTAATGGAAGCTTTCAAATTTTGTTTTACGAAACTCTAGACCATGACGTTAATGGTGCCCCCTGGAGTTGTGCAGGGAGCAATTAATTAAGATTTCATTCCGCTCTGAGTGTTGGAAGCCCTGATTAACAGGAGCTTAAACAACCGAGTCCGGACGACGCAACTAAAGCAGTGCTCAGGGGGAAATTTGTAACTCTAATGCACATATTTAAAATTAACATTTCCCGGCAAGCATGCAGAGAAACCGGATCTCTCACACGTTGCTGGTGGGAAAGTAAACTGATACTCTGGAAAACAGTTTGTCAGTTTCTTATAAAGCCAAACGTGCACTTACCATAAAACCTAGCAATCACATCCTTGGGCATTGGGCACTTTTCCCATAGAAATGAAAATTTATGTTCAGACAAATACCTGTACGTGAACGTTCATAACAGCTTTGTTTATAATGGCCAAAAACTGGGAATAACCCAGTTCTTCAGTAGGTGAATGGTTTGCAAACTCTGATACATTTATACAGTGCAATACCATCCAGCAGAAAAAAAAAAATGAATAGTGGTAAGTGTAACAACATGGATGGATCTCAAAGGCATTATGCTTGGTGCAAAAAGCTAATTTCAAAAGGTCACATACTATATGATTCCATTTATATAACATTCTCGAATGGACAAAACTATGGGAATGGAGAACAGATTCCTGGTTGCTAAGCGAGAGGGATGGGGTAAGATAGGGTGAGTGGAAATATAGAGGGGCAGCAGGAGCTGGTGACAGACCTATTCTGTACCTTGATTGTAGTGTGGTTACATAAATCTATACATGGGACCAAACTGCCCAGAGCTCCTTCCTCCCACACACACACGAGTGCACGTTAAAGCTGGTGAAAACCAAATCAAGTGTGTAGTCTATTCAATAGCGTCATACTAACGTCAGTTTCCTGCTTTTGATATTATACTTCAGTTATATAAGATATCATTATAGTAGAAGCTGGGTGAAGGCTTCAAGGAACTCTATGTACTAGTTTTGCAGCTCCTTGTGAGTCTTGTATTATTATTTCAAAATAAAAAGTTAAATGTTTTCACAAAAAGTAACAAATGTTGGAGAGGTTGTGGAGAAAAAGGAACCCTCATACACCGCTGGTGGGAATGCAAACTAGTGCAGCCACTATGGAAAACAGTAGGGAGATTTCTCAAAAAATTTAAAACAGAAATACCATATGACCCAGCCATCCCATTACTGGGTATCTATCCAAAGAACTTGAAATCAGCAATTTCAAAATAACCATACACCCCTATGTTCATTGCAGCATTATTTACAATAGCCAAGACGTGCAAGCAACCTAAGTGCCCATCAACTGATGATTGGATGAGGAAGATGTGGTATATATATACAATAGAATACTACTCAGCCATAAAAGAGGATAAAATCGTCCCATTCACAACAACATGGATGGACCTGGAGGGTATTATGTTGAATGAAATAAGCCAGATAGAGAAAGACAATCTCTGTATGACTCCACTCATACGAGGAAATTAAACACATAGACAAAGAGAACAGATTAGTGGTTACCAGGGGA